GTAGCTTTAACAGAAAGGTACGTCCTGGCAATTTGATAACCATAAAGTAAGGTAGGACAAACTGGGTTTAGTAGTTAGTTGTAATGAAACAGTCATCTGGTTACTGAGTCGTTCCTTTTAAATTAAAGTAAACAATGTTAAGGATTTTCTTTTTTTAAAGAAATATTTTTGCAAATGACAGTTTCACCCCCTTTTTTTTTCATTGCCTATGTGGGAAAACTAGCACATTTGTTTAAGGATAAACTGGGAAGTCTGTGGTTTCCAGCATGCGCATTTTGAATAATATTTATACAGACTATTATTTAATAGGCCATATAAATATTTATCATAAGCTGCAGCCCTTTGATCATAAATGCTTGTTTGAAAAGCCATTCTGTCCCTGCTGTGATTTGCAAAGAAAGAGGCCATTGCTGTTTTAGTGCTAGGAGGGAATTTTGGCTTCTTGTCCTATCTTAGCAGTTGTAGTAATGGATTAACACAGTCAAGCTGGACATGTCTTTTAAAAATTCTTGTTCTTCTCTCTCCCTCTCTTTCTGTTGGCAAATTCAAATAATGAGTTGTAAATATGAGGCCCTAATTCTGCCGTGGACAGACAGAGCTGTATTGAAGTTTTGGGGGCCTTTTTTCTTGGCTGCAAGAAGCCAGGCTTCCTGAGTTAGATACTTCAGGGGGTATAAAAGGTAGGGGTATTATCACCACTGCTTTGCACAACTTGGGAAGTCCATAAACATGCATCATCCATGCATCAAATATTTTGGTGTCCTGTTAGAAGTACTGTGTTCAAGGAATTGACCTGACTGGACTGTTAGGACTTTTTATTTCAACCATTTTTCTGGTTCACTGTTTTTCTCATGATTGTATTGACTGCAGAAGCTGTATGCTAAGAATCCAGTAGATACAAAATCCAAAAGTTTTAATTGCACAACAAAATTTTATTTGCACATGGCAATGAACGTTCGTGTCCAGATTCCAAAGCAGGAATTTTGTGCTGGGACCTTCCTTTACCTCTGAACTCTGTTGAAGAGTTTCTTCATTTCTGATTTGGAGCTTCCTCTTGTACCAAAGGAATCTTTTGTAAACAAAACTGAATGACAGCATTCCTCTTTAAATTCTTAATAAAGTACTTTGACTAAATATTTTTCACCAATCTCACCACTGAGTTCTTAGGTTCTCAAGAAATACCTTTAGGTAGAGTCTCTAATTGGTGATACTTATGATACCTAGAGATGACAGTGCTTTTTGTGGATCCAGTTGACAAGTTGATGGCATACCAAGTGATTGGTATTCCAGAAAAAACGTTGGCATCAAGTGATGTTTTTGCAAGCAGATCAGATCCTATTGCAGAGACACTATACTTTGAACAGCCTCGGTAACTTAGTGCTTGCTGTGCTTGAAAAAAGGATTAATATTTACTTTTAGCCTTTTTTTGTAAGATATTGAAGTATTGCTTTGTAAATCTGGGTGAGCTTTATTCAGAGAAAGACCAGTTTAAAGAGATTTGTGGTTCTTGTTTTTGGACTCTGTCACTTAACTCTTTTCTTGCTAGTTGTCCACAGATCTACAGAAATAAAATAGTGGATATGCATAGACTGATATGTGCTGCTTGAGCATATAAACAAACTCTGCTTCCTGTGCAGTCACTCACACATGCGCATCCTGGTTGCTTAGTAAGGAAAAAAGGAAAGTAAACATTACATGGGCCGATTGGGTTCCAAGTTTCAAATGTTTGTGGGAAGAATCCAATGCAAAGCCATAATTTTAAGTGCTGAGTAGGAGGTACTATGAGCTTAATTCTCTGACATCTGTTAAGCTTGTCCTCTAACTAGCAAAAACACATTAATGAGCTAAAATCAAGGCTGGATACAGGGAAGAGAAATAAAAATTTAGAGTAGTATTGTGTGTGTGTGTGTGAGAAGGAGGCAGAATGTAAAATACTCTTTTTGCTATTTGTATTTTGTGAAAAGCAAGTAAGATAGATTTGCCTTTGTTTAAAAAAAAAAAAATCTGCTTTGCAGCTTGTGGTTTATTCTCTTCTTTTTATGAGTCAGCAGCTAAAGGCAGTGCCGAAATAGGGAAAAACAGGGAAATTCGTGAGATAGTATCAGGAACACTCTTATGCAATTTCTTTATAGTAGAATTTCTTGCAAGTAACTAGCAGCATCTGCAGCCAGCCTTTTAAGCTTTGAGGAGATGGAGTGCAAAATTAAAAAATGAACATCATCTGTTGAAAAGAATGTCTTAAAACTGCTTTTACAGCCAAGGGCTAAGAGGAAGATGCAGAGTGTTGTAAGTATCCCCAGCTGACAGATGCAGTATTAATCACTGATATCAGGAGAATTGTCCTCTCTGCGACAGAGGCATTAGCTTTTGTTAGTCTGACCAGGTCATAGAGCCAGGGCCAAGGAAATAAAGCGAGCTTTCTTGCCAATATTCCTAGGTGTTAGACTCATGGCACACCATTATTTTTAGCTGATTGCTCATCGCTTGAACAGATGACCTTGCTTAACAAGATTAGCGTGTATTGCACCTAATCTACTGGGCAGAATCAGAATGCTGAAAGAGAGTAGCTAGTATTTCCATCAGTACCACAATATGCTCTATAGCTTTGAGTTTTTTCTAGTTTCTGACATTGTTAGAAGCTAATGATCTGTAAAACTTCCTCTAGTGACCCTGCCATGGTGCATGCAGAAAGTGGTGTGATAACTGCTTTGGTTTGTATCGGGCTGCTTAGGTGCTTTAGTGATGGACAGAACTCCCTCATGCTAATGCCGTCCAAATGAAGAACAAAAAAAATGGTCCCTGGCCCCCAGCAGTGGTAGTCTTGGCATGAAATGACAGATTCAGGCAGTACAAAATGATCGTATGGGACAGGTTGTGATAACAGATCTCCACAGACGAACCATATTTCCATGAACCATTTAAGGGGTAGGATGAGGGGAAGCTGGGTAATTTTCTTTAGCCAAGGTGTTGGCTTATGCTGTTTTAAGCGCAAATGAAACTTTGTCCTAATTCAGCTGTTACACTGCTTAATTATTATCTGAGATGATGCTTGGAATTTTCTGAGATAGGGGACTGACTCTTGCCCCCCTTTTTTTTCTTCTTTATTCACCTGCTACCTCTAACCCTCAGTGATAACAGATTTGTAATAGCCATCAACAGCAGTGGTTACAAGCCAACCATAGATGTGAACAGCCACTTATATTGCGCCAACACTATGTTCAGACTGCCACCCAAGGACGGATCTCGACCTGTACTCAAGATATTTAATGGGGAAAAAGAAAAGGCTTGGTTTTCTGTCTTGTAGAAATAAAACAAGTGGAAAACATTGCTGCCATAATTGAGTACAATTTACATGGCTATATGATCAGCTGTTATTGTCTGAAGGTAGAAAGAGAACTTTCACCATTTTCTGTTCCACTGCTTTTGCTATTGGGCTTTTGGTCTACCTGGCCACTAAACTCTAGTTATTTCAAATAAATATATGTAGGGATAATTTGAAATGTGAACTTGTTTTACTAAGCAGTACTTTCCAAATCTTTCCCCCTTTGCCCATGTCCCTCCCTCTAAACAACCCATGTTCCATACACAGAAGTAAACCAGGTCACTTCTTTGGGAGTGATGGGTTGTTTTTAAGTAGAGCCATTTTGGTGCTTGATAAATACTGTGTGTTCATCAAATTATGATTTATCCATTAATTTTCTGGAAATCAGAAACTACGCATCAGGTGAGTTTTGTGTGGTTTAGAGGCTTATTAGGAGATTCATACAAGCACTAAACTTAGTACTCCTCGGACATTTTAAATACTTTATATCAGCTCTTACTTAGCATTCTCCTAGCTTGATTGAAATGTAAATGTTAACTATTAGTTAAGGACAAACTGTGAGAAATTAAGTACAGTGCATTTGTCACTGTATTAAATGTCAAACAGTTAAACGTAATATAGTGAAGTAAGCAACTCATTGTGAATAATTAAATCAATTAACTTAATCTCACTTTGTTCTTGTAGATTGTCAGAGAGTAGGCAGAGATTTCCTGGGATGCTCTCATAACTTAACACATTTTCAGCAAATTATTTTCTGAATCTTTAAAATTTCGTTGATTGGTGGTGGATAGCTCTTAAAAACCTAACCAGTTTGTTTTTCAGGTGTTCTTTTTTTCTTTGCAGGGCTCAAAATTGGTAATATGTGCCAGATTGTCACTTAGTTATTTTAATTATCAGCATCACACCGCTTCTTTTGGGAGGGGAAACTGCTTTCAGATTCTGCAGAAATTCAGCCTGACTCACTGTCTCATTCAGCAGTAATATGCCACTCATTAGCTGGTTGGCTCTATGGCAGGCAGCAGCTCTTGACTCCTCGTTCCTCTTCAGTTCAGGGTTCAGTGGAGCCAGGCACACCACCCCTTCCACTACTTCAGGAGTATAATTTGTTTGCATTGAGGCAATGACGTATCTGTGGTGGTACTTGCTTTCTTGTCCAGAGGTGAATCCAACTTAATAGTCATCAGCAGCTTCCCCATCTGCTAGAATTCAGAAAAACACTGGAGTCTCTGGACTGAAATTTTCCCTCTGTGTAAAGCACCAGCTCCTGACTGCCACTGAGTTTGGAACTGTACCCTTTCCTTCCCTTCCTATCTCCTGCCCTCTTTTTCCCTTTATGTAGACATGATACCGTGTGACCACAGCTCAATTCCTTGACTATATGAGTCCATAAACTTTATCATAGCATGCATATTCTTACATGCAAATTGACAAATTGCTTTTCAGGAACTTCTGTACCGTGCAACTTACATACAAACATTTGAAGAAAAGAAGTACAAGTAGTGCAAGACTTGAAAACTCAAATGAATTAAATAATGCCAAGTGAAGACTTGCTGCAAAAGAAAGGTGTCAAGCAAAGTGCCTGCACAGCATCTCTCCTGTCCTATTCAGCACAGCTTTCCATCATCAGTCATTTTATCTGTTTTTAACCCCTTTTTTTATTTTCCCCCAATAGGTTTTATTAAAAATGCATAGTAAGAAGCAGGCTCCAGTAAAATACTATGTTGGAATTGATGTTGGATCAGCAAGTGTTCGTGCGGCTTTGGTAGACGAGTTTGGGACAGTAGTGGCACATGCAGATCAGCCAATCCAAATTTGGGAGCCCCAACCAGACCACTATGAGCAATCCTCTGCTGACATATGGGCTGCTTGTTGCGTGGTCACAAAGGTATGCGAAGAAAAATAAAATGGAGATACGTGTTGCAGGTAATTCTTCAAGTTCTGAAAGTTTAAGGCCTTCCAGTCACTGGCCTTTAATATCCAATTCTGTGCATGCTGTAGCCATCTTTGTGCACTAAAGGTACCTTTAGGATATGGCTAATGTAACCTCACAATGTCTCTTACATAGGTGAGGAGCTGAAGGCCAGAGTGAAGAAAGCTTGTGCTACAACTGAAAGTAGAATGAAAGGCCTACCTTTGTGCTGTTAGCTTAGGAGGAGGACTTACCCACTGCCTTCAGGATTTACATCTGTGGGTTTTGTTTCCCTGGTGTATGTTCTAGCCATGAGACAGTTCTCTGAGGAGTCGAGGTTGCTCAGAACCTGGTAATGCATATATTTAAAGATATGCATTGTGCTGCACTAGAGTCACAAAGGAGCATTTATTGTAGAGAAGTTGTAATCTGGTTTGTGGATGGTGCCTAACATAATATTTGTCACCTGTGATCCTCACTAAGATGTGTGTCCAGTATTATAAGACCAAAATAAATTATATACATTTGTGGATAGTATCAAGCAGAAAACCAGATTGAAATAAGCCTTACTATAAGGGAAAATTTGTACCCTCTGATCCAATGATCTGCCTGTACATGCTGGTGATAAAAGTAAATTAGTGACCTTGCTTGGCAGTGCACATGTAGGCCATTTCATCCTTCTTAATAAAGCCCCAGCCTGCTCCGTGTTTTAAGGTTGGCTTTTTAAATATTCATGATATGCTTGGTAATTTGCAGATGGACAGTTCACCCATTCTCTTGTTATTGATCAGCCTTTTCAAACATTAATGAGCTTGGCTCTGCAGAAATGCCCTGAAATGAAGGAGACGAGGTGAGGGGGAAGGAAGGAAAAGAAGGGAGTGACAGGAGTGATAGGGAAGAACGGCTTGATGTTAAAGCAGAGCAAGTCTTTTATTCTGCTTATTTGATTTTTCTCTTTGTGAATTGCTTTGTTCTTGCTCTGGACCTCTTTAAATACAATCTCTTATATGTAAGCAATAAAATACAGTTTCTGAAACTATAGCTTTACAGAGCCAGTAAGAGACTGGCACTGTAGCAAGTCTAGTGAAAGTCTTTCGTTATAGTACTAATTAAAATAATGATATCTTTATTGTTGCTGAGAAGTGGCAATTTATTACTGCGTTACATTTTAGGGGTCTTGCAACCTCACTTGGCACTTAATCCATGTGGGTGTTGTGGGTTTTTTTCCAGTGCTGCTGGAAGCCATGAAGTTCTGACCTTTTGGGGTGGTGATTTTTTTTGGAAAATCTTCCAAAAAGTATGCTATCCAAACTCTTGGTAGCAGAGTTTTTGAAAAGGTGCGCATTGCAGAGGTATTATCACTGCTACTTTATTTTTGGGACCCTTCACTATTGCAAGACAAAAAGCTGTGGCACAATATTACCAAAGCAATTGTAGAAGATCATTGCTTCCACAGGTGGGAACTGAGTGAAGTAACTGGGCCCTAATCCTGTGTCCATGTTTCACATGCAGGTCAACTCCAAGCTTTTAGAAAAGAGAGAAAATTAACTAGAAAATTGCTAGTTTTCTGCTACCTTTATTTTCGGTTATTTTTGTGCTTCCTGCTTTCATCCAGGGCTGTGGCTAGTAAGATTAAAAAGCTATTAAAGAACTTTCCATAGACCTTTGAATTCAGTTTTGAAAACCAAAGAATTTTTGGTAAGTTCGTGTATTTTTGATTAGTGATGTTAAAGAATACTGAATCTCAGAAATTTCGGAGTTTGAGCTTGGGTTTCTAATTTGTAACTCATTTTCTGTACTCATTAGTTCACATGGTACATGCATATATATGGATATGTTTGTGTTCATGTGTGTTTTGTGTATTTGCAGAAAGTTGTCTGTGGAGTAGATGCTAGCTGGATTCGAGGGGTTGGTTTTGATGCTACATGTTCCCTTGTTGTTGTGGATAAACAGTTCCAACCTTTGGCAGTCAACTGTGAAGGTAGGACTCCAGCACAAAAATTGGTGTTACTGTATATGTTTTGCCACTGATGTGAATGAACTTACAATTTCATCCAAATACCAAGTTACGGCGTTGACTTTTGGTGATATAGATGATTGATAGAAAATCTTTTTCACAGGAGGATTTTTTTCTGGTTTTACTATTTTAATTCTACGGTAAAATTAAATATGAGATGAGAATTGCTTACTGTTTGGCTAAGTGTTTGACACCCTAAGATCAGATTTGTTCATCTTGGCTCAGAGAGACTGCGTCTTAGAGAAATCTATGCTCATTTTTCTTTTGTGCATGTTTTCTCCTTCTGACTTTACTAATCATGGCTTTCATAGTGTGTATAAATGCCCATCCACACTGGCTAAAGGAATACTAAAAATGTAGTGTTAGTATAGTCTAATTGCTTACTCTGTCATGGAGCTGCAGGCAAGAGGTTCAGCTTGTGTATTTTATTACACTAGTGTTCTGTCTTTGTCTAGGACAGTGCTAAACTTCAGGAACAGTCTGTGACCTTTTTCTAAAAATTTTAATTTTTTAGTTAGTTTTTGAGTAGATGATTCAGAAGACTCAAGAAGTCTGTGAGGTACTGTTTTTCAGTGAATCCCATTTAAGATTAGGTGTGTGCTGAATCAGTAGCTACAGAGCCATAATCACAATTCTGTGATGTTCCCTTTCTATTCTCAGATGTATTTGTCATCTCCTCCTATCCTCAAAAAAACGGCTTTGCCCCCAAAATGTCCTTTGCTAAATTTAGATGAGATTTTTTATTTTTCAGTTTGAGAGTCTCTTACAATTTGTTCAATGCCTAATGATGTCTGGGGCTATTTTGATCTATGGAGTCAAATTCAGTTCTTATTTTTTATTCTCTGATATCCCCAAGAACTTTGAATTTACACAGTGGTGTTGTTAAATAAAAAGACAAGAATGCACTGAATACGGTCACACTGGTATGGACATGCAATGGTCTGGTTTCAGGCAGTCTCGCAGTTCTAAGTTATATTTGAATTCATGTTAGAAATATTGGTGTGCCTCATACTTCTGCCTTGTCTTAGAGTATGTTTTCAAGATTATGCATGAGTGGCTGCGTCATGAAGTTGAATGTGCAGTGTACTTAGCAAGGGAGGAGTCTGAAGTGTCATCTGGATTACTGTTCCACCTGTCTAGCAGGTCCTCTGTCGGTTAATTTTGATAAAATGTTCTTTGCTTCTTCTTCTCATGTGTTATGCAGACTTGCCAAATGCTTTTTCCTTCCACATCCAAAATAAAAGCATTTCAGCAAATTACCCCCCTGAAACTATTTCTGAAAGGAATTAGGGTAGTTCTTCTCATAACAACAGAAGAGGAACTCTAGCTAGCTGACTAGCCGGGTTAATTTCAGTTTATAATGTAATTGCGCAGATTTTGCACATTTTTAGTTCTTAGTCACCAAAATGCTTCCTTATATTTTTAACTAAATATGTGTACTTTATCAAGAAGTTTGGGTTCTTTGAATGAAATATAGTCTACAAGAGCATGGCGTTTCAAAGTTCTTGGATGCTCACAAGCCTGATTGGTTTCAGTCAGCATTCTCAGTGCTCAGCATGTCTTAAAGTTGGCTCAGAGGGCTAGAATTTTATCTTTAGATATCTACTGTGGCTTATTAATGCAAATAGAATTTGAGTTTTCTATGTAGAAGTCAAAGTGTGAAGCAGCTTATAGTCAAGTAACTTACAGTACTGAGGTGGGGTTAAACCAGACCTAAAATAATCCCTTTTTTTTTTTCCCCAAGGACAAAACTATAGGAATGTTATTATGTGGATGGACCATCGTGCAGTCAGTCAAGTTGAGCGCATCAATGCAACGCAACACAGGGTTTTGAGCTATGTAGGGGGAGTGATGTCTGTGGAAATGCAGCCACCTAAATTGCTGTGGATAAAGGAGGTGAGTACATCTAAGGCTGTGGTGCATTTTTACTAATGATTAATGCCCTTTGTTTGTTAATTTCTGAGAATGAAACTTCTAAAACAAAAGTCTTCAGCCTTAGTGTTGAACCCAAAGGTATGCAAAGTAAGGCCAGCCTTAAGTTGTGATGAAAATGTTTTGAGGTTCTTTTTTTCCTCTTAATTTTTTAGAAATATCTTTGATTTTATTGGAATTTAGTATTTCCTGATTGAAACATTTCATATGCCTTTCTTACCTAATTTTTAGGTTAGATATACATACGAATTTAGTTGCAGGTAATGAGTGAGTCCTCGAAGTATCCTAGAATTTAGTTATGGAGGTGTATTTCCTGCTCTTAACTACTGTAGCTGGGCATGCTTACAGGGGTGTAGGTGCCACTTCTGGGATGGATTTATAGCAATTTGAAAACAGCACCATCTCAACATTGGGTGTCCTTCCCAGAGGTACTGCCTTTGAGGCATTGCATCCAACAGTGAGGGGATGTGTGATGTCTTTGGCTGCTGGTAGAGAAACTGTTTGGTTAGAGCATCAATTTAGTTCTGTTCCATCTGTAGGAAATACACCATCTGTAGAGGGAAGGTGCTCTGTTCATAATGTGGAACTCTACCTCTGTCTCTTGTGTTTAAATTTTGTGTGTTACAGAATGACATATGGCCTTTTAATAATAACTGTCAGATAAAAGGAGAAATGCTTGCCACTTGAATTTTTTATAACCTCCTCCAATCTGGCTTTTACATTTGGTCTCAATGATGCTTGCTGTCATTTTAACAAAGCCCAAATGTAAATTACTTGCTGCCAGTTTCAAGCAGCCAGTCTCCTGTCCTTACAAACATGAAACATCATATAGTAACAAGGTGCAGATTGGGGAAAGTCAAAGGAATTAACTGGTAGAGGCAGGTACTGACAGATTAATGATAATAGAGGATAATTAACATTGTTTGTAGATGCTATACTGAAATACGAATATCCATCTACTAGTTCTTTCCTTCTTGAGCTATGAGTATCATATGTCAGTCATTTTATAAATAATAAAAAGTGAAGCTGTAGAAACCTTAAATGAATCCATTGTGTTTAAAACATTTTTATATTGCAAGGTCTGGAATATCAGTACCTGTCTGATCAGGAAAGCACAGATTGTGGGGTCTTCGAATGTGGTTACCCAGAGATGTAAGTCTATGCTATGGCCTCAAAGCCCTCTGACATAATTGCTGTAGTATAAAGGGGAGAGCAAGTATTGCAGGGCTTGTTCCCTCCATGAGCAAATGGGTAGGAAATAGAATTCACCTTACCCAGCATGCCAGCCAGTAGCAGAGATTGCCTGGCAGAAGGGCATTACAGAACAGGGCTTGTTCATATGTCCCCTTTCAGCTCCTGACGTACCAGCTAAAGAGATTATTATCCTTAAGAGAGCGGTTTTTTTCCTCATTATCTGCCTGCCTGGGCTGCTCACGCGACAGTTCCTGCATCCTGAGTGGACTAGCAAAGACATGCTGTTAAACTGCTTAAGCTTACCCTGCTTAACTCAGGCACTTTAAGGAACATCTACAGTAGCACCTCAGCTAGCTCGTGAGAAGGAACAAAACATTTATTATGGAGTCGGTTGTAATCAGTTGAGATGTGGGCATGTAGTGTTAAACTTTTTAGCTTCGGAGAGGTATGTGATGGAGTCTTTGCTTGCTGCTTCTATACTTGTTGCAAAGTAAGAGGGTGAAAGGAATTGTACGAAGAGCGATGGTTTATTTTCAGTGCTAATCACCTATGCATTACATGACTTTTAGGGCTAGCAGCAAAGGTTCATGTTAGCCTCTGACAGCTGAAATTCAGCCTCATGTAATGCAAGTGTTCTCACTTTTTGCCAAGGAAGGCAAATTTTACAGTAACTTTGAATGTCTGGTTCTCCAAATGGGAGCTAAAACACCAGTTTGCACATACGTTGTTATTCAGTGGAGTGTCTTCAGGTGGTCTGCAAATAATAAATTACTTAAGTCTCTTCAGATTCTTTGTTATTAATATTTTATAGATGAATAAACTATGACACAGGTATTAAAGGCATGGTCAGGAAAACTACTTATAAAATGGTACTTAATGTTTCCTTCATATTTTTTGACTTGTATCATCTTTATTTTCTCTGTTTAGTGCATTTCCCTCCTGCTAACTGCACAGTTCCCAGAGGTACGGTAGAGTTAGATTTTGATCTAGCTCATACACCACAAGGAAAAAATAATCTATTTTGATTGCAGGATTATTTCTTAAGCTAGTGATAATGCACATGCTGGCAAAAAGGAAGTTTGGTTTTCACATCCCTTGGGAGAGTCACAAGATTAGCAGGTAGAAAGAAACATTTTTATTTTAGCCTTTTTAACCGAGAATATCTGAAGGCTTTGCAAAGTTGAAACTGGAATTCCCATCGTGCTTCTATTTAATTGTGACAACTGGTATTCAGAAAATAACTGCACTGTACCTGTTTTGCGCAGGCCACACGTTGAGTCAGTTGGCTAGATGGGAACTTTATGAGCATAAAATTAGACTCTCTTTAAAAACGCGGCCCTTGGTGTTGCTGAGGAGAGGCCAAAATGGGATCGTTATGAGCACTGAATGTTACAGCTGAGATGTGTTGGCAGAACTGCCTAGGGAAGTTTACATAGTGTCTGCCCATACTGTGTGCCTGGCTGTGATCATGGCCTTTGGTCTCTCCAGCTTTCCTGACTACTAAATGTCACCAAATATGCTACCAGCAAGATTTCTTTAAAGTATCGTAGATCTGAGTAGTTTATTTGTCTTATTTAAATCCTCGCCTCTGCTTATGTTTTCTATATCACATGGGAAATAACCTTTCCTACCAAGCTACTGCTTGCTCCAGTGAGCGGTCCAGTCTTGGGAGCTGCTTTAAAATAAGATCCCTCTCAAAGCGTCCCAAAAGACTATTGCTATATTGTATAAAGTTCTACCAGAATTTTCTGCCAACCTCTGCAAATATGTACAGTTGGTTCAGGTTTTTTCTGAAAACACTTCCAGTATTTCTAGAACTATTTCCAGCCATCTGACTGCAAGCGGTGCAACCTGCTGCTTGATGCAAGAACGATATTGGGTCAGACCAGAAATCCATTTGACTCAGTATTTGCCTGATTAGTAGTGAGTGTTTTGCTCTGTGAATTCAGCTAATCTTTTCTGGACCCACATGCACTTTTTGCATCTACTATCTCCTGTGATAATGAGTTCCTCCATTTAACTGTACTTTGTGTGAACAGGTAAAAAACCATCTTTTTTTCTGAAACAAGCTCCTGGAATTTCATTTGCCTTTTAGTTCTTGAAATGTATGAGACAGAGAACTATATCATTCCCCAGTCAACATCATGCCATAGACCATAGTGATGTTTTTTTTCCTTTCCTTCTTTATTCCTTTCTTAATATTCGTCCCTGATATTGTCATATACCTGACAGTATCCCGGAAACTTAAGGCAAACAATGGATTGGACACATTCTTCTATGACTGGCCCTAATCAAAACTGGCTAAACCAAGGTGTATCCAGAAGCTACTTTGGGCCTTTGTCCCTTTGGTAGGCATCACGTTTCTGGAAAGTTTTTGATTAGAAAGGTTGATGTGGCTGCAACACAACACATAGAAGTTTTAAAAACAAAACAAAACAAAATAAAAAACACAGCCATGTACTTTGTACAGTCATGCTCCAGATCAGTGGGTACATCCTGATCTATGAAGATTCACTGTTGACTTTTGCCTTGAATTCCCTGGAACTTTTTTTGAACACCTCAGGAATTTAATGTTTCTGCTATTAAATGCTTTTGCTATTTTCCTCCTCTGCATCTTTGCCTGGGATTGGTGCTGTGCACATTCCATATATGCTTGCATTGATCTAGGTTTTGCAGAAAGGGTGCAGCAGGGAAAATAACTGTTTTATATCTGAAGTTATGATAAAATAACCTGGAACTAATAATTAAGAATAATTTATAGACCCATTGACATAACTAGCAGAATTAACTTTTGTATCACTGGGAAACTGTTTGATACTTTTCTTTTAATCAAATCTGATGTATTTGTAACAGTAAACAGCAAGTAATTGGAAGAACCTTAGAATGACCCCGAATGAAATACGTTCCTTTCAGTGGATCCTCAGTTCTTTGGAACTCTTAACATTGTTTTCTTGAGCTTCAAAGTTTATTTAGGCTGGCATAAATATAAATGTTTCTTTTTGAGCTTATTGCCTAACCGATAAATATTCAAGATATTCCCTTGACTTCTTCATGTTCCATGTTCCATATTCATGGAGTCAGTCATAGGAAACTGCAGTCTTGCTAATACAAGACAAATTGCACAAATGTGACTGTAAACTAAATTAGTTTGTTAAAAGTCATTTAGGAGACTAGTCATTTAGGAGACTAACTAGATGCACTTTTGGAAGTAAGTTATTTAAGGTATTGATACTAAATGACCCTTTGGACTGTTGTTATACCTGTAGGTTAATTGTGTGTACATTGTCATCAAAGCCTCCCTCTCCCCTTCCATGATGCTAACCTGACTGTGGAAGGCCACATTAGGAGATCCTCCCTTCTCACTGTTTGCCCTGGGCTCTCCTAACTGTAGTATCTGAAAACTTGACATCTGTGAGGAAGGGTCTGACATAGGTCAATTCAGCGGGATTGCTAGGTGTTGCTGTCCCTCAAAGAAAGGAAATGAATTTCTATTACTTGAAGAATTTTCATTTAAGCAATTGAAGGTATTACTAAAGACTATGACTTTGCAAATTTACTCTGAATTGGTTGGAAGTAATGAAGAGGGAGGAGAAGGGGGAGAGGGCTAAGGTGACCTAACTGTGCTTTTCCATTCCCATCATCATCTTGTCATTAGAATTGAAGTTGAAGATGACCTCACAGACTGTGAGGAATGAGCTGATGTCATTATACGAGAAGTAGATGCTGGTCCTTTTCTCTTGCAGCTTTCCTGTTACACTTGACTTGTATTT